TTTCCATGCCATTAGTATTTGATTCCCCAGAGTCACGGCAACTAAGCAATAAGCAAGTGATGGCAAAAATATCAACTCGATTAGTTTTGATGAAATATTTCTAATGAAATTAGTAAAGACTTTGATCCACGATGAAGCTGCTACATTATAGTTGTTGAATTCATATTTGTTTGTGAATTATATTGGGAGTATTGAGTGAAAAAGAAAGTAGTAGAATAGAATGAGGCTTCGTTTGGGATAATTTTTTTGCTGCTTTTTAAAACAACTTTTTAGTACAAAAATTTCGTGAATTTGAAATTTTTGTACTTAAAATCCGCTTTAGAAAGAAGAATCCTGGAGTAAGACACTTGAAGATTTCATCTATAAAATGTGCTCAAATATGAAAATTGTGTAAAATTGCATAAATTAAGCTCATTCTGGACCTCCTATTTATAAATTTAGGTTGAGGCGAGAATCTATATGCATGACTATAAACTGAATGTTTGATTTGATGTAATTGTTTGCCGGGTAGTTGAGTAACTGAGTTGTCAATCAATAGTTTGCCTTAAAAATTTGCCCCTATTTGAGTATTTGTCGGGCCCCATTTTATAAATAGTAAAGGGTAGGAGGCCGATTGATAACTTCTACTCACCGACTTGGAAGAGTTCTCGAAATATTGTTGTCTACTTAACGAGTTCTCATATAAACCGATGAGTTTGAGGCTAAGTAAATTGTGTTAACTTGGCTTAAACCGAATTGACTTAACTTGGATCTGATTAAATTAGATTGAATCGAATTTTCTCAATATTTTAGTGTATATCAATGAATAAACTTAATTCCTCTTCACTGGGTAGGTGAACTAGTTTGCTTGATTTTGAATATTTAAGAGTTTTTCAACCGTTCTAAATCTTATACCTAGGAGGGATAAGAGGTTATCCTTTACCTGGATATCGTTTTCTCTGGCCTATTTTTCTCACCAACAACAACCAACACAATTGCATACTTCACAAACCAGCTAAAGCTTGCCTCATGACAAGCTGTTATAATGGATTAATTATTGTGTGCGGATGTCGAATCCCGTTCGGAGACCAACCAGAATGCCCCACATCACCCCTTCGCTCGGTAGTGCGGCTCGGTACTGCGGCTCGGTACTGTTGATGTGACACATTCTGGTTGATCCCAAAACAACATTCTGCATCCGGTCTCCGCACAGAATAATTTCTCGTTATAATGAGAAATTGCTCGGCGTGACGTGATAAAATGAGGATTTTGAAATCATAAAAATACTTATATTGCCAATCTCAAAATGATTTAAAATTAGCAAATTTATGCACAACTTGACTTTAAAAGAGCAAATCAGAAACCAAATAAATTCATATATAATATAATATTATATCCCAAAAAACGATATGATGCATCAAATTAACTATGTCTATGGATTGTTCAATCAACCAAAATTGGTTCCTAAAATATTCCAAAAAGATATAATCGTTGGATTGAAACAAATCGATCTAACCTAACCAGGCTGAGTTTTCCTTCCCTTGTTACAATTATCTTTAAATGATCCTCTTGAGATGCTAACTCATTAAAAAATGTGAGAATTTGTCTTTGTTTTTGGGAGGTCCATCCAAGGAACAATTATTACGTCCTCCGACCGGATGTAGAGAAACATCCGGTCGCAGGCAAAATCCCGCTATACCGAGGTGTACCGAGTTTTTTTCGAAAAACTCGGTACACCTCGGTACAACGGGATTTTGCCTGTGACCGAATGTTTCACTCATTCGGTCGGCCGTACCAAATAAAACTTCCCATCCAAGAGGCATTAAACCCGTCTAGAAATTATTTATATCGATCAAATGGTTTAAATTTGATCCATTAATATCCAAGCACTCATTATATCCAATTATAAAGCGCAAATACTCATTGTTAGCCACCAATACATTATACAAAAAATGAGAATGTTGAGGTGCATTAAATTAGCTTGTTTGTATGGAGTTTGGCTATGGCCATCCTGTTGGTTTTTGGTATAGAGGAGATTGTTGATGGGATAGATGTGTTATTCATATGTGCACTCAAACATGTGTGTGTGTGCGTGAGAGAGAGAGAGAGGGCCGGAGTTGTTGTACTTGTGTGTGCCTTGCACTATATGTGTTGTGTTATGAGCATGAGTTAGAGAAAGTGGGGTTAGTACATGGAGGAGGTAAAGTGCATGGGAAAGATTGAAAAGAAAAGAGAGAGAAAAAATATTAAAATAATAATCATGTCAAATTATACAAATAATTATATGTTTTAAGTTAATATATAGATTTTAAATAATTATATATGTAAATGATATATGAATTTAGTGTGAACGAGTTTATTTGGACTATTTTGATAATGAAGACATGATAACACATCCTGGTTCATGCTATTTTGTGAAATGTGGTCGTGATAAAAAAAAATTACATGGGTGAATATTTCATACATGGAAGATTCATGCATGCATGATTTCACATAAATATTTTGAATTTTTCCCCTTTTTTTTATCATTGCATGCACCCTGGAATGTGATGAAAACATGATACAACACGATAAATTTAATTCCAAGCTAGGTGAACAATAACATAAGATCACAATAGGTGGTGCAATTTATCATTGCTCGATCAAAGCTAACTTAATTAACCTATTGCTTTTAGAATGCACCCTCAAATGTGATGAAAATAAGATACAACATGATAAATTCTTCAAGGCTATTCCTTACCTATTTCAAGCAAGATGTCCTCTTCCAACCATAACCACCACTAACATCTCCCAAATGTGCTCCACATCATAACAAAAAAGTACATAATTTTGACCACATTAATCCAACTACCAAGTGGCTCCATTATTTTTTGCATTAGAGCCAAAACTTTGCATTAGAAGTAAACAATGAAAAAATTACATGAAGGCTTCTTCAAGGTGTCACCACAATAAGAAAAAAAATTACTTCATAATTGGATAACGTTTGTCCATCTCACCTTTTTCAAATTTCAAGCATATTTTCACCATTATTGAAGAAACAAAAGACTTAGAGGCTATGATAATCGAGCAACTCTTGTGTTCTTTATAAGCCTATGAAGAAAAGAAAAAGAAGAAGCAAGTGATCAGAAAATTAACATGGTATTCACTCCCTTCCAATCAAGTAGAATTGATTCCAAGAGGCTTGATCCGACCTCTTTCACACATTTAATACCATCAAACACTAACTTTTTATTTGCGAATAAAATTCAAATTTAATTGACTTCATGATCAAGGAGCTTCCTCGATGCGTCTGCTAGGGTTCCTTCGTGAAACCTAGCCGCCACCTTTCTCTCATCGGTGGCTTGCGTTTTTCATGGTGAATAAGCAGTTGGATCCGGGTTTTCTTGAGGGTAAGAACTCTAAATCCTTCAAAGATGTTCTTTCTGGTTCAGTTGCCTCAGCTGGCTTTCCGAATTGTCGCGTCTCTACCATTTGAGGTATGTCGGCTTTGTGGTTTTCGGAAGATGAATTTTTGCATCTTGCTAAACCTTTCGAGTATGCTTTGGTGGGGAAGTTTCCCCTGAAACGCCCGGTTTTGGATTCCATTCGTAAATTTTTTTTCAACCTAAAGCTATCCAGTGATTTTTCGGTCACTTAGTTATCAATCAAATGTTTTGATAAAGCTTTCTAATGATTTAGATTATGGGAGGATTTTGCACACCGATCTTATTTTGTCTCTGGCTGTTTCATGAAAATAATCAAATGGTCGCCTCTCCTCGACCTGTCGGAGGAGTCGTCGATCGTCCCTGTGTGGGTTTCATTTCCTGGATTGCGTCCTCACCTGTTTTCTCCCAAAATTTTGTTTGGATTGGGTTTTGGTTTTTGGGCGTCCGATTCAAACAGATAACGCTACGGCTGTGGGATCGCGTCCCTCAGTCGCTCGTATCCTGATAGAAATTGATATCTCTAAATCTCACCCGGATTCGGAGTGGTTGGGTCCGGAGAAATTTGGATATGTTCAAAAAGTGGTTTTTGAAGGTTTTCCAAATTTTTGCCAGCACTGTAAGGTTGTGGGTCACAAAAAAATTGAATGTCCTAATCTGTTTCCTCATCTCCCACCTGTGATTTCTGCTCTCCCTCCGGTGGTTGCCGATTCTGTTCCTTTAGGGAAGCATATTGATTATACTCATGTCCCGAATCCTCTTGGTGTCTCTAATATGGGTTTTGGTGAGGTTAGCCCTGGTTCTTTGAAAGGTGTTAGTGAAGATAATTTACCTGTGATTGGTCCGTCTAATGAAGCTGTGGCTTCTCCTTTTGTGCTGGATGAGCCTATCGGGTTGGTGGATGATATTGTCCCTGTTATTGATGATGGGGCCAGGTCTTCTCCATTGTGCTCTCCGGTTGATAACACTTGTAGTGTAGGGAAGTTGTGCAAAGTACATAATTTTCACCAAATTTATCCAACTACCAAGTGGCTCCATTATTTTTTGCATTAGAGCCAAAACTTTGCATTAGAAGTAAACAATGAAAAAACTACATCAAGGCTTCTTCAAGGTGGCACCACAATTAGTACAAAAATTATTTCATAATTGGATAACGTTTGCCCATCTCATCTATTTCAAAGTTCAAACATATTGTCACCATCATTGAAGAAACAAAAGACTTAGAGGCTATGACAATCGAGCAACTCTTGAGTTCTTTATAAGACTATGAAGAAAAGAAAAAGAAGAAGCAAGTGATCAGAAAATAAATGTGGTATTCACTCCCTTCCAATCAAGTAGAGTTGATTCTAAGAGGATTGATTCGACCTCTTTCACACATTTAATACCATCAAACACACTAATTTTTTATTTGCGAATAAAATTCAAATTTGACTTGGCTTCTTCCACATAAGTTCTGCAATGCATAACAATATATTCAAATCAAATTCAAATTAATTTTGAATGACTTAATTCAATAAATATTTAGAAATGAAAAATTTGTCCCTAATTGATAATAATTTCTTTCTCAAACAAGCTTTCATATAAATATTCACTCGAAGACAAAAAAATGAAATATTTGGCCCATTATGACGCCAGCACCACTTCCGATAGGATTTTCCGGTTGGATCCCGAACCCGACGGGTTTCCACAATGCAAAACGTTTAGTGGAAAATAGGACGAAGCTTGATGTATAGGACTTCTGTGAGTCTGTGACCGGCGAACTCCGCGGACGACGAAGGAAATTGTTACTGAAAGTGACTAGCGGCCGCTCAGACGCTCCCTTGTGCCTAACTGTTGTTTCCTCTTGCTTGTGGTCTCCTCTTATTCTTTCCGGTCACTCAATGGTGAGTGTTTATGAGTATTCCTCTCCTTCCTATTTTTGGTCTTAAAGAATGATTCTTGAATTAAGAGAAGTAAAACAGGCCTTCCGATCTCCTTTAAAACGTTGAGTCTTTTTAGATCTATAAATGTGAAAATACATAAGAATTCAGTGATCTGTATGAATCTCCCTTTTTCTTATTTTTGAAGATTTGGGGATCTTTACTTATTTTTCTTTTGTTTTCTGGGACCGTGGATTTGAGCTTGCAATCGTGAAGTGGTACCTTAAATTTCATGAATCGGTGAAATCCGTTCTGTTATACTGTTTGGTACTTTTGTTTAGCGTGACTCTGTTTAATCTTATTTCCACCAGAGCTACTCCAACCTTTTCAGGTATATACTTTTTTTTTTTTGGGACATTTAGGCCATTTAAGGCAAACTCAAACACACAATGCATACAGAAAGACTAGAACCCAAGACCTCTTAGTTTGAAGCATAAGCTCTCAACCAATAGGCCAAGACGAGCTGTGTTTCATGTATATACTTGTTTTGCATTTTGTCTCTTAAGTGTAATGTCACTCATCCACCTGAGTATCCTCATCTCTGCAACACTTAATTTTATTTTATGCTTCTCTTTTAATGGCCAACATTCTGCTTCATAAAGCATTGTAGGTCTCACCACCAGCTTATAAAGTTTTCCCTTGAGTTTGAGGGGTGCTTTTCGATACATTCCTTCACTTCAACCATCCTGCTTGATTTCTACTTATAAGAACCCCAGCTATTTCGCAATCACTTTGAACAATAGATGCAAGATATCCAAAATGTGCACTCTTTTTTATGGCTTGATCACCCAAAATTTACTAACCTACCAATAGATTTATTACTACTAAAATTATACTCCATGCTTTCAATGTTAGATCCACTCAAACGAAAATCTTTAGACTCTAAGATTGGCCTCCATAATATAAGTTTTTTATCTACTCCTCTAGTCTTATAAAAAAGAAGAATATCACCAGTAAAACCTAGAGTAAGAACATTCATGATTAAAGCAAAAAGATATTGGCCTAAAGCTGATACTTGATGTAATCCAATTGAAATAAGAAAATACTTTGTCAAACCAACTTGTGTTTGAACATAAGTAATAACTCCTACATAAATATTCTTAATGACTTGCATATAAGCATTATTAACTGTCATTTTTTCTAAAACTCTTTAGATTACTTCTCTTAGAAGTTTATCATATGTTTTCTCTAAATCAATAAATATCAAATGCAGATTCTCGTCACTCTCTCAATACTTCTTTTCCATTAAACCTCCCAAAAAATGTATATAGCTTCGATAGTAGACCTATCCACTATAAATCCAAATTGATTTTGAGAAACATTAGTATAAAGTCGTAATCTATACTCAATTACTCTCTCCTATAATTTTAATATATGACACATTAACCTAATTCCTTTATAATTCGCACTATTGTGTATCATCGTTTTTATTAAAAATAGAAACCAACATACTCCATTCATTTGACATCTTTTTTGTCTTCAAAATAATATTAAAAAATTTAATAAGCTAAAAAATTTCTTGATCTTCTAACATTTTTCACACCTCTATTAGAATATCATTAGGTTCTAGTCTTTTTTTACTTCATTTTATTTAACGCCTCAACAACTTTTATTTTATTAATACGACGTTAAAAATTAAAATCAATCGTATTCTTACAAAATTAAAGAGTTTATCTAAATATCTCATCCAGCTATGTTAAATATCTTTTTAAAAAAACACTTTTTTATCTTCATCCGTAATGCACTTCACTTGAACTAGATCTTTTTTTCTTCTATTTATTTTCTTAGCTAACTTATACATATATCTCTTACCTTATTTAGTTTCTAATTTATTATATAAATCACTAAAATCTAAATTCTTTGGATCGCTTATAGCTATAGTCCCTTAGGCCTCTCTATATATTTTTCAATTTTCTGAGCATTGACAGATATACCAATTTTATAACAAAGATTCTTATTTTTGTTCTTTTCTTATACATTTTGATTCCACCACCAATTATGTTTATAATTATGAGTTTTTCTTTTTGATTCTCCAAGCACATATTTTGTGATCTTTTCAATATTATTGGCTATTTTTTCCTACATAACATTAACTTCTTCATAAATAATCCAAATTTTGAGATCTTGAATTTTACTCAAAAAAATATTTTTATTAGCATTCTTTAACTAATCTCATCTAATTCTAAGATAATGTTTTACTTTATTTTCATATCCCCCCCCCTTCATCTTAAAATCTAAAATCAATAAGATATGTTGGGTATATAAATCTTCATTTAGAATAACTTTACAATCTTTGCAATCTAAACAATTTATTTTTCTTCTAAGAAAATAATTAATTTCAGTTTTTCTATGTGATGAAATACTTCTTTTTTTTCTTAAATAAGATATTAGCAATTACAAAATTATAAGCTACTGCAAAATCTAATATGGACTCACCACCTTTATTTGTTGCTCGAAACACATTGCCATTATAAATGCTTTTAAAATCTTCTACCATTTTACCAATATATTCATTTAAATTTCCTCCCCAATAACAACAACATCAAGCCTTTGTCCCACTACGTGGGGTCGGCTACATGAATCTTTTTTCTCGATTGTGTCTTGTTAAAAGTCAAATTCTTATTTAAATCTAATAAAGAAAGATCATTTCTAATATTTTCTAACCAAGTCTTTTTAGGTCTACCTCTACCTTTCTTAACATAATTCAAATCTAATACATCAACTTTCCTAACTGGGTCATCAGAAGGCCTCCATTTAATGTTACCAAATCATCGAAGGCTTTCATCAGAAGGCCTCCATTTAATTTGACCAAACTATCGGAAGACCTCCGTTTAATGTGACTAAACCATCAGAAGGCCTCCGTTTGAAATCTTCTATCATGTTACCAACATATTCATTTAAATTTCCTTCAATAATTTTTTTTCTAAAAGATATCCTTTCTATTAATTATTTTAAATCAGTCTAAAATTTTAATTTTGAGCACATATTCAAACCTATTTGAGGAGCATAAACACTTATAAGGTTAATAATCTTAACATAAACAATGATTTTTAAAATTATAATTAGATTTATAATTTTATTTTTTTCTATAACATTATATTCAGACTCTTATCTATAATCACATCCACATCATTTTTGGTACGACTACTATCTAAATACTAAAGTTTAAATCCCAAGCTATAAATCTCATTAGTCTTTCTCCAACCCATTTAATTTTTTTAATACATAGAATATTGTTCTTCCTATGAATCATAATATTATTAATTCTATTAATTTGTTCTAAGAGAACCTATAGATCTATCTAAATTATAGTTTCATGGACTAGCTTCTTTGTCCATACCCGCCCATGATGTGTGAACTCTTGCTTATTTAACACTACACTTGGGTGCCGATTCAACGACCCTTGCACATTTTTTGCTCTATTCAGGTCATACAACGCTTTGCTTCTAGGGAACACCTAACATTAACATATTATAATAAATAATTCATATTATGATTATTTGACAAGTTTTACACTTGATGTCGACTATCTAACATAAACCTTCATTTTTCTCATCCAAGGCTTGAGACCTGGCTTCGACAATGTTGCTACTTACCTCCCTCTTATAAGTATTTTTGCGTATGATGATATATGGTAGATATATCATTAGATTTTACTTGTTTAGGATTTTTTAGCTAAGCTTGATGTTGTAATAGATGACATGAACGTTAATGGAATTTTTTATCAGTTGGAGATCTTGTGAGAAGGATCTATTTCTAATCTTGACAAAAATAAGTTTCGTGGTAAGTGTAAAGATATGTCTTGCTTCTATTGGAAAAAAAAGGGGCACATATACAGAGATTGCTAACCTTTGAAAAATTAATAGCATACAAGTGAACTCTATAAGAAAAACAAGTTAGTAGATGCTAGTACTATTACATATTGATCAGATACAAATTTAGATGACATTCTTGTGATATTTAAGATAGCTGTAATGATTAATAGATTCTAGATTCAACTTTTTCTTACTATACATGTCCTTGTAAGTTATTAATTTTCACTTATGTGTCATGTGCTAATTACTATATTTATATAGGAAACAATATGTGGTGCAAACAATTGGTTTTGACACAAGGAATTGGAAAGTGTATTATGTATGGCTAGGATATTGATCAAAGAAAGGCATCTATCATACCATAGGAAAAATCTTATTTCTTTAGGTACTCTCAATAAAATAGAACGCAGGATCTCAAGAGATGCTAAAATCTTAAAATTTGGAGGGATTATTGATTTTCTTGGAAGCAAATAAAGTTGATAGACTCTATGTTATAGGATTTAACTTCAAGTAGATCATTAAAGATGAGTTGGTGGATTGATCTCATGCTGTAATTCTATCTTAATGCCAGTTCGTACTGTTAAAATTTGAAGTGAGGAGAGAGTCGTTCAGGGATATGAAGTTTTACTAATTTGTCTGAAATTTTGATAACAATGGATCAGTTTTCTATGAAATATATGTTCTTTAGATGCCTCTTATTGGTATTTATGTTGACATCTGAGATTTACTAGATTGCATAATGCTCAACATTTTGAGGGATTGGGAGTTTTAAAAGCTTGTTAAGAGGAGTCACATGCGTGATCTAAAATATTGCCATATCACATGTTATGATGTAGATTTTTTTTTTCTATTTTTATTTAATTTTTATAATATCTACAAGATATTATGAGATTTTTTTTTCTTTGCTTGAGGAATTATGGGTTTTTCTTTGTGATGAGATTGTGTACACTCATGTTTAGGGAAGAGATTTCTTGTGGCCTTTTTTGTTTGTATACGTGCAAAATTTTGGTAGGGGATCAACTTCTTTATTCTCTCTTATGAAACTAGGTTGTTGTCCTAGCTGAACCATTAAATCTTGCTATCTTCTTGTAGTGTTTGGTCTCTGTTAATCCTTTGTGTCCTTTTTTTTACTCATGGTAGGCGCTTCGGTATAATAAAGCATTTCAAAAATCTCCAATGTAAATGAAAAGTATGCATCAACTTTAGACTACCTCTATATAGAATTTAAAGTCTCATTTACCTGTAAAAAAATTTCCGTGGAAAAAAATCTCTTGGATTACCCATTTTATGAGACAACTTTGAAAAATGTTATAAAGCTTGTTTAGAAGCCTCTGTGGAATTTCAATTATGCATTTCCAATCCAATGATTTTGCCTTAAAAGTTCTTTGGGGGGAACTTGTTTATCTAGTCATATGACGTATAGTTGAATATACTAATGATTGGCTCTCACCAGCTAATGATTAACCCTCACCAATTAGCTTAAACTTTTGAACTGCACAATTCTTTAATTACTAATGTTTTAAGCTCAAGTTGATTCCCTGGATATTATCACTCCGGACCATATAATATCATGACTCTGCTAAAGTAATAGATGCAATTTGAGGCTTCCTTGGCCCTTGTTGATCTCCTTTATATGTTAATAAAGTTCAAGTAGTTCAAATAATGAAATCCCATGATTCAGCGAGCTCTTTGGCGCGTCTTTGTTTGTAGTACTTAATTGGTTATAAAAAACTTTTGATTTGATGAGGATGATGACTGATGTGAATAATTCTCGTATACAAGAAAGATTTTGAGTTATATGACTAATCACACAATGTGCTGAGGGTTGATATACTAGTAGTGGAAGATATCCATATGCTTAACTTTTAACTTTTGGGTTCATTTAACCTTTTTGTTAAGAGAATTCTGGCCCAAATTTATCTTTTGGCGATCCACACTCTCTAATAACTTGTTTGAATTGATAGTATATTTAATGTTTGATGTATTATTTTGATTCAAGACACCGCATTTCCTCTGAATTTTCTTATGCAGGTAAGCAAAATAAGCTTGTGGTTGAACACTTAAAAAAGGCCTCTTTTTCTATATGATGAGCAATGCACAATTAAAATTAAAATTTCATTCTAAACATGTTAAACACTTAAAAAAAAGCTTGATAAAATTTTATGTAAGATTTTTCTTTGTCAAATAGACCTTGCTTGGGAAAGATATGAGATACATCTTGTGATAACTGATGTGTCAAGCTTTATGTTGTGAAATGATCAGATTTATTGATTCTACACTATGAGAGTTCTTACATCCCTATGGTATAAAAAAATCCAGACTTTCATACCGATATTGTCCAACCATATGGGCTTAAAACTGGCATTAGCATTCTTTCATGGGCTCCCTTTGCTTCATGTATTAAGATTTGTGGCAATATAATAAGGTTTGCTTGTATTTGCAAGTTACGAAGAGAACTCCCTCATTAAGGTGCCAATGACTTCTGCTTGTGTTTATCATGGAAGGAGGACTGTTTCTTAATTAAGCATATGTAGAATTAATTTTTCTTTATGGTGTCGAATGTTGGCCATTAAAAGAGAAGCATAATATTAAGTTAAGTGTTGCAGAGATGAGAATGCTCAGGTGGATGAGTGGCTTTACCCTTAGAGATAGGATATGAAATGAGCATATACGTGAAAAGATTGGAGTAGCTCAAGTGAAAGATAAGATTAGAGAGAGTCGCCTTAGATGGTTTAGTCACATAAAACAGCGGCCTTCTGATGACCCGGTTAGGAAAGTAGAGGTATTAGATTTGACTTATGTTAAGAAAGATAGAGATAGACCTAAAAAGTCTTGGTTAAAAAATATTAGAAATGATATTTCTTTATTAGTTTTAAAAGAGAATTTTACTTTTAACAAGACACAATGGAGAAAAAGGATTCATGTAGCCAACCCCATGTAGTGGGACAAAGGCTTGATGTTGTTGTTGTTTTAGTAGAATTAATTTTGCTTTCCTATCTGATTTCATGCTACTATATGTAATGCATGCATAATGTCCTCTACAGTCGAATACTTCAGATAAGGAATCCATCAACCAACCTAGTTTATGTGAAAACCTTCTCCAAGAGCAGAGTCTCTCAACCCTGGAATCGAACAATGCAGGTCAGTACTTCCTGATCTTATCGGTTTGATCTGTTAATTACAATTTTCTCAGGGCCTATTTAGTTGCAGCTGATATAAAACACATTTCAGAATGTGAAAACAAAATCATCAGTTATATTTGAAGGGTTTCTAATTACAACCAAACAAGTAAGGTAATCTAACAAATATCGTTATTTTCCAAAACAAATGTTATTTACACCGGCAATCAAATGTGTTCTTAGCCTAGAAGCATTTGTTAGAGGTTGAGTATTTCAAGAATATAAAGGAGATTCTTCCTTTGAATCAGAAGGTGATAATCTCCATGAAAATGACATGCAGTTCCTAATTCTGCATCCAGAACTCAAGTACCCAACAAATTAACATTCGATAGCAAAATCCAACCTCTTATGGGAAGTCCATACTTCATATCCATCATGGCAAAGTCACATGTTCAATTGCCATATCAACTGGTACATCATCATTTTGGATCTCTCTTGTTAATAAAATTCATCTTAGCTTGTGCATCTCAACTTGGTTAACTTTTTTTTTTCTTTCCATTGTGAATCGACCAGGTTGTCCCAACTCATTTCCACAAAGCTCTTCCACTTTCTACTGTTCAGGGAATCCTTCAATGCCGAGGTAATACATGGCAAATAAGATACTGTGGTGATTCCCCCTTGAGAAGATTTAGTTGTGGATGGCGTAAGTTTGTAGAGGACAACGAATTGCAGGTGGGAGATGGATGTGTTTTTGAGCTTATGGATGATAAGGAGCTGACGTTCCGTGTGCAGATCCTTGATGGGCAAATCCCCTCTAAGTTTTTCAAAAAAGGGAGCTTGGATCGACCAATCAATATTGATTAACTAATGTTTCCTGAGGTTTCGGAGTATCTTAAAAGCTATGGTTGGCGCTGTTATGTATGCTGTTTCTGAACTTGTTTAATTTAAGATTTGCATAAGGGAGACAAATCTGTGTATTTTACATGATTATTAATCTCATTGCTTCTGAATTATTTGTAAAATAATTACAGTGATTGCATTTAGTTCTGTTAAAGTTTTTATGCGCCAAAAGATTTTCCACTTTGGTTTTAAAATTGACTGCACAGATCCTCCCCTTGCTTTTTGATTTTATGAACTGATGGACAAAGCTGAAATTTGGGGTGGCCCATCAATCTTTCTACAAAATGCAGTGCAGCTCGACTATGTCCACTTTGATGTAGTCAATAATGTGGGTTGTAGTAGCAGCATTCCTGTGTACACAGCTTAAGGGAAATGAAATGAAGGAGAAACCACTGTAGCAGCAGCTTTCTCATTCCCTTAATCTTTTTTTTGGCCAATTTAGGTGCTTGATTTCAAGGGAAATGGAATGAAGGAGAAACTGCTGTTTTCGGAGCTATTATTCTGTGCGGACACCGGACGGTTCTTCCGTCCAGTTATGCGCTCGGTATCGAGTGTACATTTTTGGGGCAATGTGGTGCAGTTTTATTGGTTTCCGGACGAATCCGGACGCCGCACGTAATAATTTTTCCTGTTTTCGGTTTGAGGAGATGGTAAGCTATGATTGTGTTCATTGCTCAAAAGTTTCTTTCACATCGAATGAACTGGGACCGTCCTTCATAGAAGCGCCGATTTGCTTAGCGGGTTGGCATCTTGGTCACTTATCTCACAATAAAAAACATGATGTTTTTGTAACAGTTCATAGCAGCAGTTTATAAATCGCTGTTATAGACAGGTATAAACAATAGTTTTACCCGCTATCAAAATCTCCTAAATATTCATAATTTTCGCAACCGATTAGTAGCAGTGGTTTTAAAAGCTGTTGCTATAAGATAAATATATTTCCACCGTTTTATTGTTTGATGCCCTAGCTTCCGATCTTGCCCTAGCCAGCCATCTCAATTCCTCTCTGTTGTGATCCCAATCCCTCCCTCTCTCACTGTTCGTGCGAGAGCTATAGGCGATCGACATTTGGGGATAAGGAGTGCGTCTTTGGGATGTCAGTTGCGGCAATGGTAGGAAATTGGGGCATTTTAAGTTGCTAAAGCCTTTCAAGCAAACACATATACAGCGGATTTGCAGCGGTTCCTAAACCGCTACAAATAAATTAGCAGGTGTTTAAACTGCTGCAGTAAACTTTAAAAAAGTACTGCGAAAATCTGATTTATTAGTAGTGGATCATTCAATATTTATTGGATAAGACTAGCTTTCTAGCGTATGAATTATTTCTCAATTTTCAAACAAATATTTCAATCGACATTTTGTGTAAAATTTGAAATTATGATAGCTGAATCTATGTGCTATCTTTTTTGTATTAACATTAGCCTTGGAAATAACTTTAGACCATCTAGAAATTGAATTCGATTGGCACCTTCATCACCATTTTAGGTTAACCTTGCTTGCATCCAACTCAAACAACTGGCACTTACAACAAACTAGGTGCCTAAACTTTATTTAAAATACAAGGGCATGTTCAAAATTTCTTTAAATTTGACTCTCTTTTTCAAAAGCAAACTGTCTTCTTCTTTCATAAGTTCAGGAAATGCTTTTGAGATAATATTATCAAATTGAAAACAGGTCTTTAATTTGAAGTTATGACTACTTACAAGAGGATGCAATTAACCCTATTTCTCATATTATAAGTCTAATAATTAAGTTCCCGTGAATTTACTCAATTTAAATATAATATAAATATTACAATTTATTTCAGACATTAAAATCTCGTCATATTTATTTTTTTAAAAAAACTGAGTTTATATATGAAGACAAAATTTAGGATCTTATAAAAGGTAAAATTTTAAATTAACATATTAAGTTGCATGACAATATTATAATAAATAATTTTTTTAAAATTAGTGGAGGTTAAATTCAAATATTTTTTAATTTAGCTTCAGTTGCGACGGATTTCTTGTTGTTTTTTAAAATAATTTCTTACTACAAATTTTTTTTAATTTAAAAAATTTTAATTAAAAAGTCATTTTAATGGGTGGTTGTTAAATTCAAATACTTTTCAAAGTCTGGAAAGATTTTCTTGATAATTTTAGTATTATTTTTTTAATACAAATTTTTTTTAAATTAAAAATTTTTATACTAAAAATTTGTTTTAAAAAATTATACTTTTTTTTAAAATTAGTGGAGGTTAAATTCAAATATTTTTTAATTTAGCTTCAGTTGCGACGGATTTCTTGTTGTTTTTTAAAATAATTTCTTACTACAAATTTTTTTTAATTTAAAAAATTTTAATTAAAAAGTCATTTTAATGGGTGGTTGTTAAATTCAAATACTTTTCAAAGTCTGGAAAGATTTTCTTGATAATTTTAGTATTATTTTTTTAATACAAATTTTTTTTAAATTTAAAATTTTTATACTAAAAATTTGTTTTAAAAAAATAATACTAAAATTATCCCAAACAGTCAAAATTACAAAAATTATTAGATGCCGTCATGTACAAGAAACATAGCCATCCTTTCTATCTTTTTACATAAAATATCAAACATGATTCTATCTTAAATAAAAATATAATAAGTAGTAAGGACAGATGGACTATTACCTTTGGAAAAATTGCCACATGGACAAAGTGATAGAACTCATGCCACGACACCAGAACTGTATTATAGCCTGCCACGTAAAAAACCAATGGACAGACTTATCCTCTCAGTAGCCCTATAAAAGTAACACTTCTTCATCGTCCAAAGCACAAAAACCTACCGTTTTCATAAACCTCTTAAGCTGAAAGCCTGTGAAGAAGAAATCCAACCGTCCCCCATCACACAATATGCATAAGTTGAAGGATATGAGCAGCGTCGCCAAATTTAAGTTGAGGAAAAGCGCCATAGCAACTCAGGAGAAGAAGGAGAAGGCTACTGCGAGGAACAGGCAGGAGAAGGAGATTGCGGAGGAGAGAGCTAAGGCTAAGAAGGCTCAAGCCAAGGCCGATCTGCACCAGGAGAAGGCCGATCACCGGGTCGCATCAGCTGTTCATCATGCCGGCTTACACCACGTTCCCCTCAGCGGCCACCGCCGCCGCCACCACCACCAACACCACCCACATGTCGGAGCTGCTGCTCCTACTACTCATCTGTATTCCGGGGCCCATCCATATGCTGGAAATTACTAAATGTTCGTGTGAATAAGAGTGTATAATGAAATGTGTTGCATATATAATTACCTTGTAATTTATGTCAGTACTGTGCTAGAATTCCATCAGATATAGTTTTTGGTTGTATAAAAGTCCCTACTATTGAATAAGAGTGTGCAATGAAATAGATTTCATTTATGGCCTTGTTATTCAGTACTAAACTTATATAATAATGTTTATGTATGTAATGTACCAAAATTCCATCAGCCATGGTCTGGTTGTTCTTGTGCTGCTTTGTCTTGCGCAGACCGCTGTAAAAGATAACAGGGTTCCTTCATACATCTTAGGACATCTGGGAGAACTTGACGACAGTGTGTGTGATATTCAAATGATGAATAAATTATATATAATCAGTATTCAATTTGTGGTATTTAATAGTGTTATGAAAATTTAGTTGAATTTATTATAATAATATTCTCAAAAATATTATAAATATGATCATATTTTTAACATAAATAGTTGTGAGATTTGAGGTTAGAGAGTTTTGGAGATCTGAGAACTATAAAGCACTGATTGACGTTATATGCTTACTAGTCATTACCATTATCTAACTTTCGTGGTATGACTGTTTTAATCAGATGGTCGAAGTCTGATCATCATTAAACCGATGGTCATCATCTAACCATCGTTGATTGACTATTATCATCTTATCATTATTGACTGATTGACATTATTTAATTTTCATCATTATTCCATCATTTCTTATTTCATGATCTCTTCTAAAATTGTAGAAGATTAAGCAAGCAAGTACTTTTAATTTTATAATCTAGTCTTTTTTAAGTTGTAGAAAAAATGGTCTTTTATATCTTGAAGTACGTAATGAACTATTTCAATTAGGCTAAGCCCTAAAATATTTTTTATCTTTTTAAGTTATTCACATAAAAACTCAGTTCTCTTACATAATTTTCTTTTATTTATATGTTATATTTTCATACAAAACTATAACATAAAATCCTTTTTTGTCATTATAAATTTGTTAGCATGCAATTATTAATTAGCATTGCATTGAGAAATTTATATGTACATCTTAGCAAATACAAAATTAATGATTGGTAGAAGTAATGCTGGAGCTGAATAAGCTTACAATCAATAATATTAATTGTAATTAGGCAAAGCAGCTAGTCCCTATAGACCAATCCTTGGATAATCATTGATTATCATCAAAAAAATTATCTTGATCGGGCATGAATCTCGAGGCAAAAATCAAGTTGAAAACTTCAAAAAATTAAATCAGAAGCCATTTGAACTCCGATTTTAGCAAACTTATACTTGAACTGAATATCTCGAAAGTACAAACCCAACGACACCAAATTCGACCCAATCCGAGCTCGAATAGGTCCAAATCAAAGACTCAAAGCGCATTAGGACGGTTCAATCCATAATTTAGATTACCAAATAGTTTTGAAATGGGGCGTGTTTGTAGTCGAATCGAGCGGATCGACAAGACGAATCCAACAAGCTCAAGATAGCCGAATTCTGATATCAATAAGATATTTAAATACTCAATAAAAGGTTAATAATCAAGTGATTCAACATCAGTCGTCCATTTAAACCGCTCCAAATTTACCATTGATCTTCATCTTATTTATTGGTCATACCACTCTCAAAAAAACTATAAATATACCCCTCATTTCTCATGGGAGGGGACTCAAGCAAGAAGAGAAGAGAAGGAAGAAAGCTCTCTGGCCACTGGACTCCTCCTCGACCACCGCTAGAATTCCACCTGACTGGTGACTGATGCCGGAATTCTGCTCGACAGTCGACTGACACTAGATTTTTGCCTGACCATCAATTGAAGCCGGATTTCCGCTTGACCACCAAAACGTCTTCGGATTTTCGATCTCCGTTTGTGACTGAATTTCTACCCGATAGTTGATTATTGTAATCTGATCGTGACGAGTCATCCACTTGTAATCTAAGAAAACACTAATGGAATCCATTCAACTGGCCGTGACACTATGGTTTTTCCCTTTTCTAGGATTTTCACGTGAAATTTTGGTGTTCCTTTTTAATTTTGTATATGTACATGTGTTAGTTATTTATACAAGGCGAAGACGAAAAGATTTTCTAACTCTATCGCCACATATATTCTAACCCGCAACAATCAATGCATGAAGGTGGAATAACAAGCCAGAATCATTTAACTTATGAAAGTGGCTAGATGCTAAAGAGTGCCACCACAGTATGATGTAACTCACTAGCCAGAAAATGAATAAAACATGAGGTAGGAAAATTTAAAGCCATGAAGAACGTCATGAAGTTAAAGTTTTTCCTTCATCACAATCTAACCTATAACTTGTTGACAATACTAGCTAAGTAGCTAGTTCAACTCATCCTTCTGGTATGGCTTGAACAACCCAAATCCTCTACCAACCTCGGTGGACTTGACTTGGTCATAGCTTATGGATACTCATGATGTTTTATGAGAGAGCAACTATATTTTATTCATGATGAATTTTTTTTGGGATAAAAATAATCTTACTTCCCTATATAGTTGTTAGGTTTCTTCACCCCAAACTAATAAAATTCTTTAATATTCCATTTTAGTGGGTTCCAAGTAGGGGTGTCAATATTTGACACGACACGAAAACCTGACCCGTTTGAAAAATGGGTCGGGTTCGGGTTCCTGAATTCGACCCTTTTGAAAAATGCGTCTAATTCGGGTTGACCCGACTGGGGTTGCCGGGTCAACCCGAAAATCTGTTTAGAGTGAGCTGCCAATGCTGTCTGAGATGGGGTTAGGGTCGACCCGACTGAACCGGGTCAGTTCCGGTTCGACCCGAACCAACCCGTGACCCGAAATTGACGCCTCTAGCTTCAAGCTACCAAATACTGATCCTTATGTTGGATCCTCTAATCTTTATGAGCATATAAATCATTATAAGATCATCATTCATATTCAACAATTTTATTATTTTGAAAAAGCTAGATTTCCAAACAATCTATATTTAACAACTTTATGTTAGGTTTTGGTCAAGTTTTAGGTTAGTTGTTCCTTATGATCATGTTGTAGTTTATGTAGGTTCTTCTTTTTGTAGCCTTGTATAGCCATTGAATAGAGTTGTTCCTTGGTTTGTCTATAAATAAGTGTACAAGGCTATAATAGTTGTACGTGAATCCAAGCAATAATATTGCATTTCATATTTAGCTAGCTCTCCTCCTTTCTACTCTCCCTCTCTCTCTACATTCAAAAAGAACAGCTCATCCTCAAGAATTCCAACAAATTGGTATTAGAGCCAGGCGGGGGATGATCAAGGAGGAGGAAGGTGTTCTTGTAATGAAGAAAAAGCAGCAGGTGGTTTGGATCGCAGGCACAGGCTAGGCGTTCACGTGTGGGTGCGAGTGAATAAACTCAGTGTGGTGGAGTTCAGAGCGGTCTGGTGTCGTGATCAAGAGACCCTATAGGTGCCGCATACGGAGCCAGACATGCAAAGCATTGGTCGGACCATTTGGGACGCGAGGATAGTCACCAGATGCGGGCGCAAGAAGGAACAATTATTAGGTCCTCCGACCGGACGTAGAGGAGCGTCCGGTCGCACTAAAATCCCTCCAAAAAACTCCGTATTTGCTCGCTATTGCTAGGTATTATTTGGTAAAACGAGGAATACCGCTCTGTGAAGACCAATACCGAGTTATACCGAGCTATACCGAGCAATACCGAGTTATACAAAAAATACCGAGTTTTTTTTAGGAAAAACTCGGTATTGCTCGGTATAGCTCGGTACAACTCGGTATTGGGTCTTCACATGATGATATTCCTCGTTATTGTTTGGTATTGCTCGGTATTTGCTCGATATTTCTTATTTTTGGGCGCGATTTTAGTTCCGACCGGACGTAGCTCTACGTCCAATCGGAGGACCTAATAATTGTTCAACAGCTCATGTGTATGAAGGGAGCAACGGACTCGCTCCGGTGGACGCACACTAGCATGCGAAGCGGAGCGGCCTAGCCCCGCGTTCAAGAGGAAGCGGCTAATCGAGTTCAATAGGAGCACGGGCTACGTTGTGTTACGAGCAGGCCCACAGATTGGGAGTATGATCGGGCCATGGGTGTAGAGTCTGGGGCCTTAACGGCCCAGCTAGCTTCGCACGTAAATACACGGGCAAGCGCACGTCTTAAGAGAATACAAACAGGTTGCATGTGAAACAGGTGTGGTTTAGAGGCGGTCAATCCCGCGGTGTCCCGTTGAGTATCGTGGACTTACACGCGAAGCCAAGCATATAGGAGAGGTGCACATGATTTCATACTACAGATAGATGGGGCAAAGATGAAAGAAGGTAGAGGATTCTTGGTGGATTCAAGAATCATTTGTTTCTCATGTGAGAGGTAGTGTGCACAATTTACTCAAGAAGCAGGCAACGAGCTCGCGATCGAATGGGTTGCTAATGAGAAGCTGCAGGTCATAGCGCGCGCAGGTGCCCGGGAAAGATGGGTGAGCTAGTGGGTACTCAGTGTTGGAGAATAGGCATGATGCATGAGAGAAGGTCCGTGGGCAGGAAGCTGCACAAGGCACGACGGTAATCACTAGAGGAACAACGACTGACACATGCCTGCGTAGTTTGGAATGTGCGGGGGCATGAGCTAGGTCATGGGTTGGAATGCATAAGGAGGTCAGGCACGAGCAGACACTACAAGAAAAATGTGAATTATCGATGAAATTTCCAACGGATATCTGGTATAATTTTTGACAAATTTCTATTGGAAAAAATTCATTTAAAATTTCGAAGAAATTTCTGACAAATTTTTTTATGGAATAATTATGATAGAATTTTCGGCGGATTTAAAAAAAAATTATTGTTAAATAAAATAAAATTATTAGTTTAGGGTAAATACAATTATTGTGAAACTTTTATTTTTCTCCAAGTAAAAACTACAACCCCGCCGCGCTGCAACCTATGACGATATAGTGTACAAAGTTACAAGGCTCTGATATATAGCGTTGTGGCACCGTAAGAGTTATACGGTAATTTTGCCCCCCTTGCATCCCTTGGTATGATGTAATTTAACTGTATCTGACTTGCAGCACTCTATTCTTTAATTTATCTCTAGCCGTACTTTCAATGTCGTGTTGCTAGCTCTAGAGTGTCGCAACACTTTTATTTTTCTCCAAGTAAAAACTACAACCCCGCCGCGCTGCAACCTATGACGATATAGTGTACAAAGTTACAAGGCTCTGATATATAGCGCTGTGGCACCGTAAGAGTTATACGGTAATTTGCCCCTCTTTATTACAAGGGTTTTTAGACAATTAACCCCCCCCCCTAAAATACTATGATTTTTAGGCAATTGGCCCCACTAAATAGTAATTAGATTCCACACAAAACTAACAATATACATGTGCATAATTACTTCAAACCACCTAAAAAATTGAACTCACTATGCACCTTCATCATCATTTTAGGGTCCGCAAAACCTTGATTGAATCCAATCCAAACAACAAACATTTCCATCAAAGTAGACCCCTAAACTTTCTTTAAAATTCAAGAGCATGCTCAAAACACCACATTTAAGAGAATAAAAAGGGCACTACACTATACGTCAATGAATTCACATTTGCTCTCTTTTTAAAAAAAAAAAGCAAAAAGTGTTTTGCTTTCTTAATCAGGAATCTAATTTGTTCTACTTCAAAATTGCTTTTTAATAAACAGTTATGACTGCTTACGATAGAAAATCGATTTTATAATGCATTTGATACTTTCTAGTCATAATTAAATTACCATGATATTACTCACTATGATGTAATCTAAATTTCACAATCCATTTCAAACAAGAACAACTATATATATATCATATTAATTAAAAAAAAAACATAATTTATCTACAAAGAAAAAACTGAATTTAAAACGTGAAAATTTTAAATTACAATAAATAATTTCTTTTAAATTTGCAGTTGTTCAATTCAAATAATTTTAAAATTAAAGTATTTATTAATCATCTTACTTAATAAATTTCGTTTTTTTTTTTCAAGGCGATTGCAGATTTCTTCATTTACAGAGCGTGCGTCACCCTTTATATTCATTTACCCCAAATATGTAGCATTATTCTATCTTTAAATAGAAATAGTTAAGACAGGTGGAGGATCAATCGACACGTGGCAAATAGATCAACTCGTGATTGAACACCTAAACCTCACTGTATGCCTGCCACGCGAAAATCCAATTGATGACTAATCGTCTCAGCAACGCTATAAAATAAGCTACTTTCCTCAGGTCCAGAGCAGAATAAGCATACCATTTCCATAACCCTCTCCAACACTGAAAGCCTGCGAAGACTGCGAAGAAGGAAGCTAACAAACCCAACCCAAACAGGATGCATAAGCTGAAGGACATGAGCAGCGAGGCCAAATATAAGCTGAAAGAAAGCACCATAGCAACCCAGGAGACGAAGGAGAAGGCTACTGCTAGAAACAGGCAGGAGAAAAAGATTGCGGAGGAGAGAGCTAAGGCTAAGAAGGCTCAGGCCAAGGCCGAGCTCCACCAGGAGAAGGCCAATCACGGGGCTACGTCAGCTGCTCATCATGCCGGCCTACACCATGTTCCTCTCACCGGCCACCATCACCACCACCATCACCCACATGCTGGAACTGCTGCTCCTACAACTCATGCGTATACAGGCGGGGCCTATCCATATGCTGGGAATTACTGATTGTTTGCGTATATAAGTCTGTACCGTTTAATATGAGTGTGCAATGAAATAATTTGCATGTATACTTTGTAAGTGCTGAACTTACATGTCATGTATGTGTATATGTGTATTGTATCAGATTTCCATGGATTGTAGTTTTTTCTGGTTTATCTTATGCCGGTTTATTTTGTGGAGACTACAGAGTTCACCTAGCATATATATATATATATATGGTGACATGAAGAGTAAAATATGATGCAAGAGTAATAACAATAGTTGGAACATATAAGATGCAAGAAGCATAGATCTTCAAAAAATCGAATTGGAATCATAGTCAGTCACAGCATATTAATTAATGATTTTTTTAGGGCAAATTGAATATTTAATATGACTGACATCTAATAGAAGAAGTATATTAATATATATCAATTATATGCAGCATTAACATTTTAAAGGGCATGTAAATTAAACCATATATTCCTCTCTAAATCCATTTTTGACACAAGAGAACAACCTAGTCAGTGTTTAGCAAAAGACTACATGAATAGAAACGAAGAACACATCGTATTGAATGAAAGATTGCAAATATTGGGAAGTAGGGGTGTCAATTTTGGGTCACGGGTCGGGTTCGGGTTGAATTCGGAATTGACCCGGGTTCAAACAGGTTGACCCTAACCCGACCCGGGTAGGAAAACAGGTTGAAAATGGCAGTCGCGTGGCAGAGGGCAGCGAGCTGGGGCAGCGCGGGTGGGGGCAGCGGGCAGCGAGCGGGAATCCAAATTTTTTGAATTAAACAGGTTTTCAGGTTGACCCGGCGAACCCGCCCCATTTTGAAATCGAGTCGGGTCCAACCCGAATTTTTTGGGTCGGATTCGGATAGGGTTTTCGTGTCGTCTCAAATATTGACACCCCTATTGGGAAGTACCACACATCGAATACATACAAGAAAGAGAAAAAAATCATGGAGCCACACTACAACAAGAAATTTACAATAAAAATTTGATAGAAATAGTACAAATCTCGATTCTCTCTCGTTTTCTCCTTGTCTCTCTTCACCCTTGCTTCATTCTCTTACAAACAAAACAAAGAGAAAATATGAATAACAAAGGTACACAACCCATTATGAAAAATGAGAAAATAAGCTGTCTGTCTATCTCATAGCATCAAATTTGGAACGCCTCAGTGTTCAACTTTCTACCTCTTGTATACAAGTTAGTGACGAGCTTTGGAGGTCGCAACGCTCCTTTGTATCGCATATTTTTACAGCAACAACAACTTAAGCTTTTTTCTCACTATGTGGGGTCGGCTACATGAATTCTCTTTTCTCTATTGTATCATATTAAAAATTAAATTCTCATTTAATCTAATAAAGAACAATCATTTCTATTATTTTCTAACTAAGTCTTTTTAGATCTACCTCTACCTTTCTTAGCACAAGTCAAATCTAATACCTCAACTTTCCTAACCGGGTCATTGGAAGGCTTCTGTTTAATGTGACCAAATCATCTAAGGCGACTCTCTTTAATCTTATTTTCTACTGGAGCTACTCCAACCTTTTCACGTATGTGCTCATTTTGTATCATATCTCTAAGGGTCAAGCCACTATCCACCTAAGCATCCTCATCTCTGCAACACTTAACTTAGTATTATGCTTCTCTTTTAATGGCCAACATTCGGCACCATAAAACATTGCAGGTCTCACCACCATCTTATAGAATTTTCTCTTAAATTTGAGGGGGACTTTTCTATCATACAATAAACCCGAAGCATTCCTCCATTTCAACCATCCAACTTGAATTTTGCTGATAATATCCCCATCAATTTCACCATCCCTCTGAACAATAGACTCAAGATATCTAAAACGTGTACTCTTATTAATGACTTGATCGCTCAAAGTCACAATCCCCTCACTAGGTCTATTGCTACTAAAATTATACTCAATATCTTCAATTTTAGATCTACTAAAGCGAAAACCTTTAGACTCTAAAGTTGACATCCATAATTCAAGTTTACCTTCAACTCTCTCTCTAGTCTTATCAACAAGAAAAATATCATCAGCAAAAAGCATACATGTGCATCCTCTACACAAATTGTTTGAAAACAATAAAAAAAATAGTTGCAAAAAAGGGTAAAATAAAACCAAGTCTCAAAACACACATTTAATTTAGAAATAGATCCCAAAATTTTGATGACAATTTTTTCAATAAAACAAAATCAATAAATTAGCTGCCTCCAGCAAAATTTGATCTGGTAACTCTACATTTATGGAGTTAGGACAGGTGGAGGATCAAACTTGGGGCAACTGCCACATGCAGATAAACTCACGAGACAACGCATAAACTATACTGCATGCCTGCCACGTTAAAAGCCAATTGTTAGACTTTATCTTCACAATTATCCCTTATAAGAACACATTCACCCCACGCCTGAAGCATAAAATCTACAACTCATACCCTCTTAACCCGACACATTTCAAACAAGATGCAAGCTGCGAAGGAGAAGCTGAAGGACGTGGGCAGTGCAGCCAAAGAGAAGTTGCGGATAGGCACCGCAGAAGCCGAGGAGAAGACGGGGAAGGCAACTGCTACGAACAAGCACGAGAAAGAAATGGCGAAAGAGACAGCCAAGGCCAAGAAGGCCGAGGCCAAGGCTGATCTGCACCAGGAGAAGGCTGATCACCAGGCGGAGTCCGCCGTTCATCATGACGGCGTACACCATGTACCCCTCACAGGTCCACATCACCACCATGCAGTGGGGGCGCCGCCGCTCGGAACCGGTGCTACAACTTACCCGACTTCCGGCGTCAATCCTAATGCTGGAAAATACTTATAGTTCTTCTAAATCTCTACTTTTGATTATGAGAGTGCAAATAAATAGATTGTATGTATAACCTTGTTACTACTGAACTTACAGGTTATGCTTATCGCTGAACTTTATCCAAATTCCACGAATAATAGTTTTGACTGGTTGATCTTTTGCCGATTAACCTTGCGGCAACAATTGTAAAAGACAACTGGGTTCCTTTGCTTTCGCGATTGATGTATTTTCTTTCTTGGTTTGATTGTTTGATAATTGTTTTCATTCGCTTTGCTACTGTTTTATTACCTTTGCTTACGAGGCCTTCTATAGTACTGTGGGAACTTTTCAATTTGCTGTGGAGATTTCGAGATCTTCGATCATCGCTCGGCGTTTGGGCTTCAATCAATTTGTATAGAGGCTATATACAAATTAGAATAATGTGGTTTATTTTAATTGGACTCCCAACGCAAGTTGCATCTGCACATAATAATTTTTCAAAATTCTTCTAAGCTTATGCTGTGGGAATCAGCCAAAAAAATTAATATGATGCATAATATAACTTAGTGGGTTTAAATTATTGGGGAAAATTATCTCTGGATAATTAGTATTGAAAATTGATTTTATAATGCATGACGATTTTTACAATCAATTAAAGCTTACATTTTATCAATTAATAAAATAAGTATGGATTCATTCTGCGGCTTTCGCGTTAAAGAAAAAGTAGCCACTCGCCAGCACATGCGACCGCATTGGCATTTCCGGCGCTCGGCTTCCTCGATATGAAGATGGAAATGGTGGTGTCGAATCCATCTGATACAACCGAGGAGATTGCTGCTGCCGCGGCGTTGTCATCAGGTGCAGGTGTTTTAGAACACCATATGCATAAAATTTGTTTGCAGGAATATACACAAAGATCGGGATTATCACTTCCATCTTATTCAACTGTGAACGAAGGAGAACCACATGCACCAAGGTTCCGAGCTACAATATTGGTAGATGGGATGAGATTTACTTCTCCTTACACATTAAGTAGAACAAGATGTTGCAAAATGTACTCTTGAGATTATATCAGTAAAATTTAAGAACGAGGCTTCCCTTAATATTCACAAGGACCCAGCATTTTGCAAATTGATCCTCAATGAGTATGGAGCTAAGCTGAAGAAAGACAAACCAACATATATCATAACATCCTCTTAGTTCTCAGCCTTATCGTGCCGCTCTGGGGATTTAGGGTTTCCCTCGTGCGCTCTCCGTCGTTCGCTTCGGGGCTGCTTTTTCCTGCCAATTTTCGTTGCGAGTTGTGAGATCTGAGTGTCTTGTGTGATCTTTTGGTGTTTTTGCCCTTCTAGGGCTTGCCTCTCATGGCGAATGTTCCTCCAGCTAACCCTTGGGGGAAGGCGTCCGATCCTTTGGTCCCAAAGAACAAAGGGTTTTTTAACCTTGATGCTGATGGTTCGAAATCTCCCTCTAGCTCTAGATCTTTCAAAGAAGTTTTATATGGTGCTTCTTCTCCAGGTGATATTTTGCCTACTTTACAGTAATCGGTTTTTAATGAGGTTCCGGCTGTTCTTTTATCTGATGAGGAAGTTCTTAAACTTGCCTCACCATATCAATTTATACTTGTGGGTAAATTTGGTTTGCGCCGTCCAAATCTAGATGCTATTCGAAATTTTTTTGCTTCTCTTAAGCTCTCTGGTTTTTACTCGATTGGTCTCTTGGATTCGAGACATGTGGCTATACAATTATCTAATGATTTGGATTATAGTAGGGTGTTTGCTAAACGTTTTTCATCTATAATTGTCAAATGAGAGTTTTAAAATGGACGCCTTTCTTTGATATTAAGGAAGAATCGCCCATAGTGCCGATCTGAATTTCTTTCCCTAATTTACGTCTGCATTTTTTTAATTCAAAAGTCTTGCATGCTTTGGGCTCCATTTTTGGGAGACCGCTTCAAACAGATCAAGCCACTGCCTCTCAAACTCGTCATTCGGTTGCTAGAGTGCTTGTAGAGGTGGACATATCGAAAAAACATCCGAAGGAAGTTTGGGTTGGTTCGAAAGCGTATAGCTATTTGCAAAAAGCTGAATTTGAAAAAGTGTCAGATTTCTGCACGCACTATAAAATTCATGAACATGCTCAAATTGACTGCTTTAAACTTCATCCTAATTTAAATAAGACTCATGCTCTGGCTAGCGGGAGGTCTAGCTCTGCCGAGAATAACAAAACTTACGTAGCGGTTGTGGATATTAATAAGGATGCTAATGTTATTCAGGTGGAACCGCCTCCAGTGAGCCAAATTCTGCAATCGGGAAGTGAACATGATTTGGGAATAAATTTAAATGTGAATGGCCATGAGTCTGATGATATCTAGGACACGAGTGTTTTAGATTTAAATACCAAAAAAGATTTTATTTTAGTTGATAGCACGGTTGATATTATCAATGATCCTAAGCTTTTTATTTCTATTGATGATATTCTTAACGATATGCCTAATATTGCTAATACTACGGCTCCCGAGAAATTTTTGAGCTCTAAACAGGGAAACAACGTGATGTTGGGTAATGAAGTTGATGTGTCTAATGATGCTTTTGAAGAAGGTGAATTTATTCCCCCTTCCAATATTGAGGGCTCGACTTCTAAAATACAAGGTATTTCTGCTGCTTCTCCTTCTAATTATGTTAAAGATGGTACTAACAATTCTGAGGAGAATATGGTTTCGAAAGGTGGTAAGAAAAAGGTAAAAAAAAGTAAGAATTCTTGTCCTCCTACGCTAGATCTACCAGAGCTCAAACTTCTTCTAAAGATTGTAATGATTAAAACTCTCATATGGAACGTTAGGGGTATTGGTAATAGGGAATCGAAAATTAGAGTTAAAAATTTTTGTAGGATTCATAATATTCAGATTCTTGTTTTATTTGAGCATTTTATTTCTCCTGATAAAATTGCTTTTACTTCCAATTTTTTAGATTTCCCTATGCATTTTACTAATTGCTCTAATAAAATCTGGATTTTGTGGCAGAAAACTATTTCTTTAGATATTATTGCAGATTATCATCAAGTGATTCATTGTCATATTAATGTTTTTAATGTGAATTGTTTTGCTTCATTTGTTTATGCGGCTTGTACTAGCTTAATCGTAACACGCTGTGGGAGCAACTTATTGATTTCTCTGCTAATATTAATGGTTCTTGGTGTATTGGTGGAGATTTTAACATTATTTCTAATGCTAGTGAACGAAGTGGGGTTAGTCGGCCGAACATTAAAGCTATGGAAGATTTTAATGCTATGATTAATGACTACAATCTTAATGATATTGGTTTCTTTGGTAGCCCCTACACTTGGAATAGGTCTAATCTCTGGCAACGCCTAGATAGATTTCTTTTCAATAATGAATGGATGACTCAATTGTCTGCTACTAATGTGGAACATTTAAGTAGAACTCTTTCTGATCATGCTCCTATTTTTTTAAATATTAATGTTGTTAATTAGATTGGTACGTATGCTTTTAGATTTTTTAATATGTGGTTACTTCATAATAGTTTTAAAGATGTGGTTCAGAACAATTGGAATGCTCCTGTCTTCCCGGATAATAACATCTCTAGTATGTTGAGACTTTGCGCTAAATTGAGTAGACTGAAACAGTGTCTTAGATATTGGAATAAGAATGTTTTCAAAAATATCTTCTTAAATATTGTTGAAGCTGAGAGGAATGTTTCGATTTTGGATGGTGTTTATTTGGATAATCCGAATGAGGTTAATCTTTTAAATCTTAATACTGCTAAAAATGTCTTATGTCAATTATATTTTCAAGAAGAATCTTATTGGAAGCAAAAGTCTCATGCTAAATTTGTTATGGAGGGTGATAGAAATACCAAATTTTTTCATGTTATTGCCAATAAAAATAAGACCAAGAGTTCTATTCATAAAATTGTGAATAATGAGGGCATTTTACTTGATTCTGATGAGTTAATTTGTAAGTATGGTGTTGATTTCTTTGTGAACATGTTCAATAGTCATACTGATATTACTCCTATTTTTAATCCTAATGTTATTTCTACGCTTATTAATGATGATGATAATCTTCTTCTTTGTCAAATGCCTTCTGAAATTGAAATTTTTAATGTTGTTAAGGATATAAATGGTGATGCTACGGCGGGTCCGGATGGCTTTACCACCAAAATTTTCCAAAAATCATGAGAGATTGTTAAGGGGGATGTTACTAAAGCAGTGATAGATTTTTTTGGAGGCAACCATTACCCTAAATTTTTCTCCTCTACTAATATTGCTCTGCTTCCTAAAAAAGAGGGGGCTAATACTTGGACTGATTTCAGACCTATTAGCCTTTGCAATTTTTTTAATAAACTTAATTCTAAGATCATTGCTAATAGACTGACTAATATTTTACCTAGAATTATTTCTTTTAATCAAACTGATTTTGTTAAGGGAATAAGTATTTGTGATAATGTTTTAATTGCTCAAGAGCTTACTCATGATATTAATACTAAGGTCACGGGGGATAACATTATTTTTAAATTGAATATTACCAAAGCTTATGATAATCTGGATTGGAATTTTCTTTAAAAGGTGATGGCTTTGTTTGGCTTTAGCAACAACTTCATTTTGCTTATTAAAAATAGTGTTGAAAATTGTTATTTCTCTATTATTATTAATGGTAGAAGTCATGGTTATTTTAAATCTTCTAAAGGTCTTCATCAAGGTGATACTATTTCTCGAGCTCTTTTTATAATTGTTATGAAATATTTATCTTGAGGTTTAGATGATTTGTATGCTAAAAATGTTAACCTTAATTTTCATACGGTTAGAGGCTTTCCTATATCTCATTTGAGTTTTGCTGATGATTTCATTTTATTTTTCAATGGTGCTACTATGAATATTAAAATTTTAACGAGATTCCTTAATAACTTTCAGCAAAGACAAAAGAAACTTTATTGTTGGTAAATCGATAAATCAGAACATGATTCATGCTATTCAAAAAATATGTGGGTTTCAGGCAAAAAAGTTACCTATAAAATATTTGGGTACGCCTATTTATAAAGGTAAGAAAAAGAATATCCTTTTTGAAGGTATCTTTACTATTGTTCAAAAAAGTTGGCTAGTTGGACTTCTAACTTTCTTTCTTTTGGAGGTAGATTGGTGCTTATTAAGTCTGTTCTTAATTCCATTCCTATCTATATTTTTCACACGTTAATGCCTATTGCTTCTATTTGTATTAGACTGGAGAGAATGATCAACAAATTCTTTTGGGGTTCGAAATTTAATAC